CGTATCTCATAATGTAAAGAGGTGTATTATTTGCTGATTCCCCTTACTAGGAATACGGCAAAAATACTGTGTCAATTCAACCTATGATACGGTTTTTCGCTCTATAAATCCCTTTTCTAACTAAGAAATTACAAAATTATAGAGCTTTCTTTGTTATTCTTGTACCCTAATGGAGGGAAACCATAAGAAAGGGATGTCTGTCGGTAATGATCGGTGCCATAGTACTCACTGATTGATAAACAGTGGATGATTATTGCCATAATGGAATAATAAGATTTCTTACTAGACGTTTGCAAATTTTTATAATTGGGCGGAACGAGCGGAAGCGTTATATGGCTGCAAAACTTCCGCAGAAGCATAGAGTGATAAGTAACTTGTTTTTCTTTGTAGATAAACAGAACAATTTCCAAATTTTATTGATTCAAACTAATTTTGCGATTTTTTTTTCGAAATTCGGTTGTTATAGAAGAAAAATTCTCAGAAAAAACAGCTCACAAGTTAATTCCAATTTTCGAGAAATTTTACTTAAACTTCCTAAAAACAACCTTATGGCTCAGATTCAACACAAAACTATAACAATTCTTATAATGTGTACCCGGCTTACCGCAAAGTTTTGCATCGACAACGCTTTACAAATTGCCTTCCCCAAATAAATAAGATGGCTCATTTCAACCCATTTGCATATTATTCGACGCCCCCATGCTCGAAGTTAGCAAGAAAATCCTTGGAGGGCAAAGTTAGCGAAAAAATCTGCTGCCATTGACTTTCATTCATTTGGTACAGCTGCACTATGAGTAAGCCCAAGTTCTATCAACAATCAACAGCCATTTCAAGGCGAGAAATTCGAAGAATACACTCTAGTGCAATTGCACTAGAATGACAAAGTTTTACGCTAGCACATTGTAATAATTATGTTTACAGTAGGTTTAACATGGTATGTAATCAAATTTTGCTTCACTGTAAAAAAATAACTTATCAAAAGGATGGAGTTACACAGTTCAAGTCAAGGTGAGATTACACACCGCGCCCGGTATTTTACGGCCGCTTACAAAAGAAATTAGATAAAGAA